AAAGCGATTCGGAGGCCAACCGTACTTGCTCTCAGCATGAAGAATAATGATTCTCTTTCCACGGGATGGTCGCTGGTTCAGCATGGTTTCTCGCCAGCCTTCATTCCACCTTTTCTGCTTCAAGTCGTGTGAATCGTACCTGAGAGAGCAACTAAGATGTATATATGTGAAAAGAACTCTCAGTGGAGGCGTGGCATTTTATACCAAGTCTCCTCAAGGTAGAATGCCACGCAGCCGTTTTCCCTCGGTAGAGAATTATCCCATAGCTGCTTTGTCCTGGTTGCAGCAACGTCAAAGTGGCTCATGAACACTTTTTTTTCTCTTATACGTGGCAAAAAGGATCCCAAGTTGTGTCAGAATCTCAGATTCTGACACTTCTTCCGTCCTGAAAGTGGAAAGATGGATATTCTTTCTCCAATATTTTAAAGATTTTGTCAAAAGTGGGATATCCTTTTCATCATGCAGTTCATAAACACTCCCCCGGATGACCTCCGGGTCAAAACTGTCGACTCTAGATAATATTGGTCTTTCTTTCCTCGTCCTGTGGATTGTCTCCCGTCATTCGTTTGGCAGTGGATCTTCTTGCACCTGTCAGTGCTACAGGTCTGGACAACACTCATACCTCTGTCCTTCATTTTGAGGATGGATTCTTTGTCTCGTGGAGTCGGAGGGATCTTTCCCTTCTGTTGTATATTCATAATTGTGCGAGAATTCGTCAGAAGGAAGCGATGAGAGAGAGAAGATAGAAGCATCCATTGCGGCATTTTTAGCTCAATGATGAAGTCATGGCCTGCAATTGAGATAGGAGGGAGGGGGTTCATATTTCGCCGGATTTACTCTACCGTAACGTTGGATTGGAAGACGCTTCATTGACATTGATGTTTCCTTACACCCTCCCAGTTGGTGGTGCCATCTGCCGGCCAGGATGGGATCTCTTTTGTCAATAAGAAAATGGCTGAATCCCAGTGAGGGTAAGAAAGGCAGAGGCAATCCGATTCCTCGCTTTCGTAATTTGTGTTCTCATCTAGTCTGTGGCAACGAGTGATTGACTCGAATGGCTCCAAAGTGATATGATTTACTCCTCCGTACTATTTTTGCCCAAGATTTCCATTGGTCTCCATGTGTTGCGATGGTTATGCTCGACGTTGAGAGTCAGCTGATCGAGCTGGTGTTCAAAAGACCCAGATGGGAGCCCAACAGGGTAAAGAACGACCCTGCAGTTCTGCATATCAGCAGCATTCTCTTGGAAAAAGCTTGAGAGGAAGGTCTCGAGGCTCAAAAGACGCTCGGTCTGGTGCCAATGTTTTCACTGAGCATGATGGTGAGCTGATGAATATTTTTTACCTCCCCTAGTTAGGTCTAGCGTATCAATTAAAGCTAACTAATTCCAGCCCATGGAGCTTAGTCTGCACATTGTAACCTACAAGGCTACAATAAAAGATAGAAGAGACGAGGTTAACACCAACTGTCAAAATAGGTTAGCTCGTCTGTAATTTCCCGCTACTGATGGCACTACTTTGCCCCAAGCTCATCAAGCCCATTGGCCTGGACCTGTCTTTTAGGCTCAACTCCAACGAGAGTGAATTTTTCTTTATTTGGAATGGTCTACTGAGACATGCTACTAATGATATTGAATGCATTAAGGCACTGCTATGAGATTTGGATTAGTTCTAGTTGGGTAGCATAGGTCACTGGTACCATGCTCTTTAGAGAAAGAATAGTCATATCTTATCATGTCACACAACGCTGCTACTCATTTCTTTGCAAGTAAACCTTAACCATTTAGCTTTCAAACTCATGATATTTCAGACTCATAAAGTATCTATCATATCACTTTGTACAACTTTACACTGCAACAACAACAATTTTCACTAATCATTGGAACTTCTATCCTCTACTAAGCCTCCCACATCACACCATATTCTGTCTCTCTGTATCTTAATAATTATTAGGCCTAGGCCTGGTGTCCAATATTATCACCATGAATGAGGCACAGCTGCAAGAGAATGTAGCATAAACCTATACTGATGTTAGATCACTCAACTAAACATGAAGTTCTTTGTTCAATGAGTCTCAGTGGCCATACAGGAATGGTTTCTACTCCATACACACTGCAGTTAACGTATTCTTTGTTTATGAACACCTAAGAACTTAACCTCTCTGAATGGTTCACTGCCAGATTGTGATTTGGATAGGCCCAAGCCTAATATTAGGCCAGTTGCTGTGGATTCATCACAGTCACATGATCCACAGCCTGTTGCTGTGGATCATAGGCAGTCATGTCAAATGCTTGAGCATTCATCACAGGTATACAACTAAGCATTTGCACTATCTCCCAGAACTATGAGGCACATCAGCCTACCACACTGTAAATCGTAGTCAGATGTATAAACCTCCACCCTGCTTGTCATATATTTGGACACAGCAATTGATATAGAAACTCTTGTCTTAACACGAAACACTAAGTATGGATTGAAAGCATAGACTTGATCAATATGATATGATTGACTGCTATTTCTAGCTGTTTGTTGACCCATGCAAATTTCCTTGTTTGAAGGAAAAAAACCATATGTGGTCATGCATGCACTTGGATAATCACATGGGCTTTATCATATATATAGCCAGCCATATATGAAATTAGATTATGGTGACACCTGTCTTGAAGAAAAAAAGTGGAACCATACTCATTGGTAGTTCTGAACCTAAATGACTTGCTTGTAATGTTCATGTTGTGGTAACTGGTACCCTAACCCATGTGGCTGTATTTTTTTAAAATCCAGCTTCCTGAGTCTTTCCCAGCAGCCCAGACCAGGATTCATGAAACTGAATGCTGTCATTCTTCATTATAGTAGGGTGACCAGATTGTCCTGATAAAACCAGGACAGGCTGTTTTCTCTGGAATAGTCCCTGTGTTTGAGGCATTACCCTGCTCAGAAAACTATCCAGAAATTTTTCCTTTTAGTGCCTCTCATTTGGAGCAAGTAGCTCATCAGCCAGTCAAATGTCCCAGATTTTCCTTAAAAAAAAGTCTGGTTACCATGCATTATAGACTAGATCCTTGAAGTAATTTTTGTGTGTCTTTGGAAAATTTAGCCTTGCAAAACACCTAAGATGACTGTAGTGCTTTGAGGAATTCCTTTCCAGAATGCAGGTGATTTCTTTATTTTTGGAAGGTCCATACTGGTAATTCAGGTATAAATAACGCCATGAAGGGATTGTATGTGGAAGGTGATCAGTGGTATTGTTGTGCTTAGAGCAGACTTCAAAGAGTTCATTGAAAGCAACTTCGACATCAGACAGTCTTCACGTGAATTTATATGACTTTGTAATGTGAATGATTCCCAGGCACCCCTCTCCATTTCATACCTCTGACATGAGCAGCATTCGTTACGTTTGCGTAGTCTTCGGATTGGGATTAGGGGGTCACTTGGTTTTCTTTTCTTTTTCGAGAAATGTTAATCATGGTCACCTGTTTGCCAAACCTTGAATGCAAGATTCGAGACTTTGTTAATGTAAGCAGGTTCTTTTTATAACTTCGCCATACATCAGTGTTTGCGAGATTCCCTCCTCTGTGGTCCATGCTGGCATATTCGTATGGACTACAGGAAACAAGCCAGCGGCACTTGTCCTGACCAAATACGACTTTTACTGTTCGTCCTTGGTTTCATCCGCTGCACGAGGAAAGGAAGTGTTTTAAAGTTGTTGTGTCCGCCCTTTTTGCGTGCATTTTATGCGGGGGATTTAGGAGGCTGCACTGAGGTCATGGTCAGGCAGCTTCTTTTTTTCTGCGCTCTTCAATGAACTGGTGTTCGTGGCATTGACATACTTTATAAGGGAATCTCCTCCTTCCGAACTGGTTTTCTGTGATATGAAGACAGTGATCATGTTCTGGTCTTGGAAGGCATTAAAGAGACTTTGAATTCCCCTTTCCCATGGTTTCAGTGGGCTCTCTATGGAAAGACGCCGTGAATTTGAACTTCATATTTCTCAGAATATACAGCTATTTTTGGTCATCGACTCATTGAAGTGCAAATCGTGTGTCTGGCTGATTTGAATACATTGTCCACTTTAGAGAGGAAGGGCATTCCCAACCTTCATCACAGTGGAGAAGAAGGAGAATCATTGCGTTATTCGTACCAGTAAATATTGTGGACTAAGTATGTCGGGGTGTAACGAGTCTCAGGTAACGTCCCGGCACCAGTTGTGTCGATGTTGGTGTTGAAAATGAGGGTCGTTCATTCGTAAGCTTCCCTTGCTTCCCTCCTCTGCTTGTGCCTAGTTTCAGATTCGTGCAGTTTTTTCATTTTTCTCCCCGAAATGAAAATGAGAGAAAGTGTGACCCAGTAACGCAAGACGTTTCAGTGCTTCAATGATGTTACAATCTTTGGCCTCTTGTCAAATAGCGTGGGCTGCTGGACCTGAACACAAGTCCATACCCGGCATGAGGAGGACTCGACCCTCGCTCGCCTCAAGCTATAGTAGCCATCTCATCGTGTAGGGTTGGTCGCGTACGCATCAGCACAATTTAGTTAGAATTCACGGGAATAGCATGTCTCAGTGGATCTCGAGCCGCTGTCGGCAACGGGACTCCACTGCCTTGCTAAGTGTGAAATCAGAAGCGTATCTTCAAACGACCGAATACCTGAGTTTCCTAACGGGACATCCTTTGCAATTCAATGCATTTGCCGAATGCCGATCGTGATAAAGTGCTTCAATTAGTTGAAAGGAAGGAAGGTCTCTCACGCAGATGAGTTAATCGTGGTGTACACCCTATAGCGTGTGAGAGGAATGTGGCATTGGGCTTGCCCTCTAGCCATGCTATTATTCGATATTCGAGGCTTCCCTGTTTCCCATGGCCCATGAGACTCCTCATCACCACACTGTTCTTTTCCCGTTTTCCTGTCTTCGTCTGTCTCCCTTTTTCTTTCTCTTTCTCCCCCCTAACCCCTCACTGCATTGCAATCGATACACAGGGTAGGGAGGGAGGAGGGACGCGTTTCATGAGCCCAGGCCTGTCTCCCTACCCCTCATCTGGCATTTTCTGTTCCCTTTTCTTCTGGGCATGTCCGCCGTCTATTGAGGAGCCACATCAGGCCATGCCTGGTCTACGTTGAATGACCTCTGCTCGAGATCAGCTTTCCCATAAAGCCTATAAGGGCTCACCAGACAGGAAGAAGTTTCTCATGCCCCGCCGTGCCCCTACTCCCATGCACGCGGTTTCTTACGTACTTCGGTGTCTCGTGAATTAGCTGGTATCAATCACATGGCATGTAGATGACGTTAATCCGGTTGATGCCATGGTGTAATCAGACGGGAAGAAGGGGAAGCACTAAGGCCCAAGAACGGGCGATAACTTGTTTTTCCCGGAACTCGGCTATTCATTCGTGAAGGGGATCGATCCATCCATCAAGCGAGAGGGAACTGCAGAGGTTTCTCTCCCGAATCTGACGATTCGTTTGTTCGTCTGATATCAGGCGTGAGGGCTAGGAATTGAAACGCATTTTCCCCCCTCCCTTCCGTTGCTTCTTCCTTATCGCTGATTCAGATGCCGTGAGGGATGATGTATGGTTATTTGGTATTTAGCTTCGATCTCATGGTCGTCTCTTCGTCACAGGAACCAAACCGAGTTGAAACACGAGCAGTCATTGAGTAATAGATGAGAAGCGAGCAGAATTATTGAGCGTAAACTAGTGCGCTAATAAAGGAACGGAAGGAACAGTGCACTTTGAACGAACGAGATAAGGGATCTCTCTTCTCCCCTTAATGGGATACATACTATACATGAGAGGGGTGGGGGGGGACTGTAAAAGAGAGGGGATACTGTACCCTTGCATCAATGGTAATCAGCCTGGTGAACCTCATGTGCTTACTCTTCTTTAAAAATAAAAAAACAATAGGAAAGACCTTATAGGTTCCTGATTATGAAACTCATCTTTGAGAGGAAGCTGAATGAAATTATATAACAGGCTATGGGCATGTTTTGCATCACAACGCATCCAATCCCGCGTAATTTGTATAGTCTCTTAATTATTCTAATGTTGCTCAGCATTCAATAATAGACTGCTCTGGGTCTTACTGGGACAAACTTATGTTTCTGTTTCTGCTATTTTTGATTGGCAGATGGTATAGGATTATGATAAGATGGTATGATGATCTAGGTCTCCATTAGGTGGAGGCAAAAGTGCTCCGATGGGGGGGTCTGCTCATGATTAGAGGAAAAATACCATATTCAGAAAGAGTCAAGGAGACAATGCCAGAAGAAGAGAGAGCTAAAAGCTGGGATTTGCTAAATTGGAGTATTGGGAAGAAATATTTAAGTTTTCGCTAGAAAATCAGCCCAACATGAACATTCTGCAAGGTATCTTTCAGCTGGCCTTTCAGCACTTCTGAAAGGCCAAATCTGATTTGTTTTCCAAAAGACAGAAAACTGTCATTCTTCATAGATTGACTCATTGATTATTCAAACAAGGCACACCACTGGGTCACCTCCCTGTGAATTAGATAACAGGACATGAAATAGCCTTATCTCTTTTATTTACAGGTTTTTATTTTTTGTTACAGATTTATGATCATCTTTTTAACTGTTGATGATAATTTGGTTTCCCAATACAGCTGCAATATGGTGTGAAGTATCACATCTTCATGATGAACACTCTTAAATCTGGAAACTTTGAACTTTTTCTGGCCTTTTTTTGCTCTTCTCTGTGGCTGATCCATATATTATAAAATGTGTGTTCAAAATGTAAAGATCCAAATCAATTTATTAAGTTTCAGCATGAGAAACAAATCATTGAGCAATTCTCACTCCTCAATGTAATCTCCATTATTTACATACTTTCCACACTGCATCAGCTAGTCTGAAAAGAGCCCTGCAAAGAACTCTGGAGATTTTTAAATCCACTGGTTAACAGCTGATCCCAGAGCTGAAATACTTGTATAAATTGTGCCATTGAGCTGATCTTTGTGCCTGGGGAACAAGCAGAAGTCACTGGAGGCTAAGGCTAGGGAATGGGGTATCTGTTTGATATCCCCTTCCTCCAAGAACTCATGAGCAATACCAGTGCAATGAGGGATGCATTGTCATGGTGCAACATGAGGGAATCAGCTGGTCACTATGATCACTACAAATGCAAATGCAGGCAATAGTTTTTCGCAATTCATGACTAGGTAAGCCTTCCCAGTGATCATTGCCCCTTTTGGCTTGGCATGGACCATAACAACACCTATGCCTTTTTCAAAATGCAAAGTAGATGATATCCTCTGGTGATGGGACCACTTTGAATTTTCTTGGAGGCCGTGATCCTTTGTACTCCCTTTGAACTGAATGATGTTTAGTCTTAAGGTTGTGGAGAGGCACCCAAGTTTCATCCATGATGACAATCCCAGACAGGAAAGTAACACAAACTCTACACAGTAATCCACTCACATAGCCATCTGGTCTGCCATGAATTGTCATGGAATCTATCATGAGATCTTCTTGTTGACCTTTGGATGATGGAAATGGGGTCACTTTGGACCCCATGATATGCCTTTTTTCTTTATTTAAAAAAAAAATAATAATAATATTATGATTTGGGGGAATTCTAAAGTCTTTAAAGCAAATAGCAAATTTGTTCAGTGAGGATCACCTGTAGGTCATATCCAAGGGGTTAGAGTGGAGACTCACTGTGTGTATGCTACTTCCATGTTTATTATTTAAATGCACAGAACAGTAAAAAATAAAAATAAAAAAGAGGACTAATTTAAATCTACATTCTGAATAAATGAAACATTTGTGTTTTTTTTTTGTCACCAATCAATCAAAAAATGTATTATCTTAGCATTTTATCACAAAAGGTACCTTATTAGTTGTGAGTAGTTAATTATATTGAGCTGTCTCTTTTCTGTTTCAGAGGTGCTGCTTACTCAGGGTAGAGTTCCAGGACAAGATGATTTCCCTGCCCCTGGAGACCCTCTTAGTGGGTTGAGTGTTCCTGTCCGGTGGGCTTCGAGAGAAAATCTACTCCAGGGGGATCCCATTGATGATCCTCAACTATTTTTTGCTCTCTATGACTTCCTTGCTGCTGGAAATAATCAGCTCAGTCTCAAGAAAGGTATGTAAATGTTCTAATCTTACAGTGTGTCTACATTTGTTAATCCCTCTAGAAGTTTCAATTTTCAACAATTAAAATTAGTTTTCTTTATACAGGGTGTCCCATTTATATCTGACACATTTATTTTTGTAATAAATCAAGGCCAAACAAAGTAATGCAAGCTGTTATATCAAAGTAAAGTACAAACATGGGAGATTGTCACACTAACTATCCCAGGTCTACATCTTTAAAATTAAATTCTTTAAATGCTATCTTTCACAATTGATGCATTCCTTGCATCGAACCACTACATTGTTCATTACTCTAATCAGTGTGTCTTCATCAAAAGCAGCGATGGGTTCATTAATCATGATTTAAAGTTCATTTCTACTTCTGGGATGTGTCTTGTAAACTTAGCTCGTCAATAATCCCCGGAGGAAAAAATCTGGTATGGGATTTTGAAATTTTTTAGTTTGGGGGAAGGATAATTTCTGGGTTCAGCACTGTTTCATGGCCATCCCGACCCTCAGACCTGTCCACACTGGACAGTCCACATGTACAAGTTGCAAATTTTTAAAGGAATTTTTAAAAAGAGACTTTTACAAATTTTTATTGAGTCAAAATTTATTGTAAATGATGAACTTAATCTTTAATTTCAAAAGCCATATCTTTTTTACTTTTTAATCATGAAGATTATTAGGAGCATCATCCATTTTCCTTTTAACTGTTTTCCTTGGATCCTTAGCAGATTTTCTAATGCTACCAGTATAGATGTTTGAACTTTTTCAAAGTGCACCTTAACCCTTCAAGCACTGAGTTTTGACCTGACCTCCTAAGTGATGAACGTATGGTGTATGTGAAAACTGCTTGAAGGGTTAATGTGTTTCCCCAAGAACAGTTGAATGGCAGTATGTATGTTGTTAGAGGAACTGTTTGTATACATGTTACTGCAACAGTCTGAAATAGGAGTCTGTCCTGTTGGATAGATATATTAGGAAGTATGTGTAATTATATTACCTTGAGACTCAAGAATATGAGGTATTGATAAAAGTATTAGGTTCTCTGTAGCTACTCATCCCTTAATTGCAACCACCATAGATGTTTTCCATATATTGTGTATCACATGTGTTTTGTTTGTTTCCTGTTCCTTGCTACAGGCCAGCAGGTACGTGTTCTCTCCTACAACAAGACTGGGGAATGGTGTGAAGCTCACTCTCTGTCTGGTGATGTGGGTTGGGTGCCATCAAATTATATCACTCCTGTAAATTCCCTAGAAAAACATTCCTGGTGAGCTGTTACACCATTCATTGCATCTGCTTTCATCAAGTCTCTGTATTACAAAGATAAGGTGGTTTATATCTTGGGTTGCAGGTATCATGGACCCATATCTCGCAACACTGCAGAATATCTTCTGAGTTCTGGGATAAATGGGAGCTTCCTGGTGAGAGAGTCAGAGAGCAGTCCTGGACAGCGGAGTATCTCCCTTCGATATGAAGGACGGGTTTACCATTATCGCATCAATGAAGATGAGAACAGCAAAGTATGTCAAACTCATGTTAGTCGTTATTCACCTTGCTTGCTGGTGAATGACAGTATGTCTGGCTTCTAAAGGCATGGAAGTTCACAATAAGTATCACCCTATCTGAATGTTATGGTTATATTAACACATTCTGAGGTGTCTTTCCTTTGCAATACAACATGGATTAATTTTGTCAACAATATTTAAGTTTCAGGAAGTACATTCCATCAGTTTTGTGTTTTTCTCCTCTCTGTCTTCAGATGTATGTTACACCTGACAGCAAATTCAACACATTGGCTGAACTGGTACATCATCATTCCATGTGCGCTGATGGCCTCATCACAATGCTGTTGTACCCAGCTCCAAAAAGAAACAAGCCACAAGTCTTTGCTCTCAGCCCAGGTGGGCCTCCCCTCAAAATGATCCTCTGCTTCATCAGTTCCAACATTCTCCACACCATTTCTTTTCTACTCCTTAGAACCAGATGAATGGGAAATTGAAAGAACAGACATCATGATGAATCAAAAATTGGGTGGAGGTCAGTATGGGGATGTCTACAAGGCTATATGGAAGAGGTACAATTTGACAGTAGCTGTGAAGACTCTGAAGGTGAGGTTTTTTCCCACATGTAATTGAGAAAGAGAGGGAAATGAATGGAAGGCAGTGTCAGATGCTGAGAATACATTTGAGAAGTAATGTTGGAAAATCAGATTTTCTCTTGGTGAAAAAAAAAAGTGATCTAAACTGCATGACTTCATACCTCAGGGAAAGTCCATAAAATTTTAGCCAGTTCAATATGTGCAATGTTTTAGTGACTGAATTTCAGTAATTTTTTACTTTAAATATCATGGATGCAGGAAGATACTATGGCACTGGAAGACTTTCTGGAGGAAGCAACCATAATGAAAGAAATGAAGCACCCAAACCTGGTCCAGCTATTGGGAGTGTGCACAAGAGAGCCTCCTTTTTACATTGTGACTGAATTCATGAACAAGGGGAATCTCCTTGACTTCTTGAGAGCTGCAAACAAGGAGGAACTGCCTGCAATTGTTCTCCTTTATTTTGCAAATCAAATATCATCAGCAATGAGCTATTTGGAGAGTCGCAATTTTATCCACAGGTAAGAAAATGATCTTTGAATTTGTATTTTCATTGGTGTTTCATATGGAGCTGAAACATCAATGCTGCAAAGTATATCAATACTTCCTCTGCTGGCTCCATCAATTCAGACTCAATGAATTACATCCAAAAAAATAGTCTCTGACTTATTATCTGGACATCTCTATGGAATGGCAGGGATCTAGCTGCACGAAACTGTCTGGTTGGAGAAAATCATGCAGTGAAAGTGGCAGACTTTGGACTGGCTCGTTTGATGAGAGATGATACCTATACTGCTCATGCAGGATCAAAGTTTCCCATCAAATGGACAGCCCCAGAAGGTCTTGCATACAACACATTCTCAACAAAGGTATTGTTACTATTCCTGATACCCCCAGGGAGATGGGATTTGTCAGTAGCTTTGGTGTATTAAATTCATTCCTTTCCTTGGGCTCATGTAAATTGCTTGATGATGATTGCTCTGCCCATCCTGAATATTAAGGTCTTGTTGGACTCTGCTGTGAAGTCATGTGCAAAGTCATTAGTGAAACTGGGGTTGATGGTCTCTCTGCTAAAGCAGTCTTGCTCAAGCTGGTAACCTGCATGCAGACATTGCTAAACTTTGTCAAAATGAAGCAGGAAGAGCTACATCATTGGTAAACAAGGTCTGCATGAACAAGAGAGAGTGTCAGAGGTACTGAAACAAGGGGATGAAATGAATTTGGGAAATTGGTTTGTTTTTTCTTAACCCTTTTGTGCCACGCAGCTGATTCATAGACTATATATCATTCTCCTGGCACTAAAAGGGTTAAGATCTTCTCAGCTTTTTGGAAAAGAGTTCATGTCATCAATTATGAACAAGAGTTAGTGTTGAGGCAAAAAAAGGATGAGTTGATACAGTAAATGAATGAAGGAGAGGCTCCTGGTGCCTGATAAGGAAGAAAGAAATGGCCATACATTTAGCACAAAACCACAAAAATCAAAACGTTAAATTCAGAAGTACTAGATTCATACGACTGAACCTTATATGCATCCTGAAAAAACCTTTACCATTTAAAAGGTAAACTGTTTTTACTGTTTTAAACAGAATTATGACACTGAGGCATGTGTGATACAGAAGTCTTCCAACAAGATGGGGCCATGTGTCATATTGCTGCGTTTATTATAGAATGGTTGTGGTAACACTTTTCAGATTGTTTGATCTCACATCAATCAAAAATCCTCAGCAGTGAAAGGGTTAAGGAGAAAATCCAAGGCAAAGACAGGCAACAAAAGCAAGGAGTATCTTAAATTGTGCTAGGCACATTTGAGAATGCATTCTCCATAATGGGGGTCGTTCTGAAGATGTTTTTCATTAATTTAATCAACAACTTGTACATGGAATAAAAATTAGCTCATTTCAATCAATATGCCATGCTTTTTGTGTCTGTCTAAAGAACTATACATGGAGAAATAGAAATGGATTTGTCTCAGGTAAACTTATTTTCTTAAGGGACTGTTACAAAACCAGATTGAGTGAATTTTGAATGACAGAATGCATGTTACCAATGAAGCCTGTATCCTTTGCTTCCACTAAGAAAATTTTTTAGAAGCTTCCTATCCATCAAATGTCATCAATTCCAACCTGCCTCTTGGTTTTTTTCTGGATTTAGTCTGATGTATGGTCCTTTGGTGTGGTTCTATGGGAAGTGGCTACGTATGGAATGTCTCCTTATCCTGGAGTTGAGCTTACTGATGTTTACCACATGTTGGAAAGTGGTTACAGGTATGACTTAAAATTTGCTTTTCAACATTAAAGAAGCTATGAATTTTGTCTCTTATTGAATCATGTTGCATATTTTTGTCATCTCAGGATGGAATGTCCACCTGGTTGCCCAGCTCGTGTGTATGAACTGATGCAACAGTGCTGGAACTGGAATCCCACAAATCGTCCAACTTTCCGAATGATACATCTAGCTTTAAGCCAGATGTTCCAAGAGCTGAATATGAGTGAAGGTTAGTGTGAGCATTAGTAGTACATTCATAAAATGCTATAGTTGAGCCAGCATCTGTGTTTTTCTACCATGAAAGCAAATGAAATTATTCATTACCAGAATCTGAGCGCCAGATGGCTGCAATTGGGTCCACTCCATCCACTCGTTCCTCTCCATCACCATCACCTGTTCCAGCTCTGCCTCAGACTGTGCCCTCTGGTCCATCACTGGTGTCCTTCAAAGGACGTAGCATGGGAGGTGGAGGTGGAGTTTCATCTCAGTCTTCTCAAGTTATTCAAATGCGCAAAGTCTCTTCAAATGCTGCACAAAGTACAACTTCTTCCAAGAAGGTGAAGCAAGCTCCTGTTCCTCCCAAACGAACTAGGTGAGTCACGATTCATGTGTCTTTCTTTCACTACCCACCATGTATGTGAGATGGAGTCATTTCCCATCTTATCGCAGCTCCTTTCGTGATAGCAGTGTGATAGATGGGGATTCAACTGGAGAACCTGAGGGCAGTATGGAGCAGTCATGGGATACAACTTCTCCGTCTCCACCATCACTCGTGCAACAACTGCCTTTGGAAGAACCTTCTCAGGCTAATCACTTGGCCAAATATAAGAGAGGACCTGCCTTGGGAAATCGAGGAATGGATCGCAGGGTTCAGGAGCAAAAACCCAAGAAGGCCAAGACATTTCCTCCCAAAGAAGAGCATAGGAATGATGTTCATCCCACCAAAGATGCACCCATTTCTGCAAAGAAATCTGCTCCAGTGCAAGTGGCAGCTCTGGAAGTGCAGAATGTTCGTCGGGCCATCAATCGGTATGGGACGTTGCCAAAGAATGCTCGAATTGGAGCTTATTTAGAGAGTCTTAGACAGAGTGGCCTGCATAATGGACCTGGTTTAGGAGAAGAACGTCTATTTGATGAGGGTGAAGAACATGTCTCTAGTAATGCTATTTTGAATGATGACACTGGATCCCTGACTGAAGAGAAGATCCGTGCCAAGGAACTTCTCAATATGAAGACACAGGCTGCTTCCATGATTCGTAGCAACTCTTCAACTACAGGGTTTCCCTTGAAAGACACTCAGAATGTATGCTCCCCAAAGCAGTACTCACTGTCAAGACCAAACCCTCCAAAACCAGTGAAGCCTCAGCAGGTGTCTCCAGCATCACTGGAGTTCCCCCCTCCTCCTGCTGAGCTCCCACCACCCCAAGATGAAGAAATTCAGACTCGGCCAATCCCATCTCCCCGCTCATTCAGGAAACCTGTTGTATCGCCTCTGAAATCATCTGCCAAATCATCACCAGAAGATGCTGCTAGTGAAGTCAGAGACAGAGAGGCTGACAAGGACATAACAGTGGCTGGTGCATCTAGATTTGGAGTTAGTCTTCGCAGTCGAGGTACAGATATTCAGCAGCAACAAGATGCATCTATTGATTCTTGTGATAGTGCAGTTGGTGTTTTTAAAGCAAGACGATCAAGTAGCTCTGATGTGAGGCCTGATACTCAGCAGAAAAATGTGGAAAGTGGGCCTATGCACCAGGCCTTCAGTGCAAGTTCAGACTCACTGAGTACAGAAGAACGCTTGAGTTCTTCCAAAGAAGATTTAGAAGAACCAAGACGCCCCATTCTCACTGCTCTATCAACCAAAAACCAGCTGGAATTGAGACTTGTGTCTGAAATCAAGGAGAAGGTCAGTCAGAAGAATCTTTCTATGACTGCAAGTGAACACATGAAGCCTGAAACTGCATCCAGAAGTAAAGGAGTTACCAGTGAGGAACCTCACACCAATGCAAGAAAAAATTTCCCTGAACAAAGAAATAAGGTAATATCAAATAATGTCAAGGAAGAACCCAACAGAGCAAGTGCAAAACCAACACAACTGTGGAAGTCAAGGCTTCCCCAACCTAAGAGTGGAGAGCCAGAATTTACCAAGATCTCCCTTCGTAGAGTTGATGATAAGATTCCAAAGGGTATGAATGTATATGCAAGGCCAGAGATCAGTAGTGACAAAGCACAAAATGGAGAGGATGGGCTTTATGAGAAGCCTCAGGTGTTGAAGAGGTTCAGTATGTTGAAGCAAAAGAATGAAGAAGAACAGGACAACAGTAAACCTGCAGAAAAAGATGAATCCCAGGGAGAAGAGAAAGTGGCAACAGAAGATAGGAGGGTGAGCACTGGTAGCATCAACAGTTTGAGAAAACTCTGGGAGAAGCCAGTTACCAGAAGTGATAGTGAGTCCAAAGGAAAGAAACCATCTATGACTCAAGATCCACTTGGTGAGAAGCCATCTGTGCCAACTAAACCGAGCATCAAACCAGCTAAACCATCAGTGAGTCCCATGCAGCTTCATTCAACCAAGACTCCTCCAGTTGTGAAACGTCCCATGCCTGAGCATGGGGAGAGTAAAAAAGCTGATCGAGATTCCATCTTAGAACTCTTTGAACTTTTGGAAAAAACCCTAGTTCCTCTCAAAGGAGGAGGCAAGCTGCCCTCTGCTTCTCTCATGCCATCTATGTGCATTCAGCTTTCAGACAAGATTAGCCTCTTTCACTCCAGTTGCTCTTCATATGCCGATCAAATCTCTCCACATAGCCGCTTTCACTTCAGGGAACTCCTCTCCAAATTGGAGAACCAAGCTCAACTTCTTCGCTCAGCAGCCAACAAGAACTGTGCCGATAACAGTAGAATTTGTTCTGAAATACTCAATACCCTCAAAGACCTCGTAAATGCTGTCCAGAGGTAGTTTTATAAATGTGACACAATTTCGATTTTCTGTTGAGTCTGACCATGCATTGATGTTGGCTGTTGTTTGTCCTTCCAAACAGTATGCTGTAGGATTTTCAGCTCTGGAGAGGCATGACTACAGCATCTGAATCTCTTTTGTTCTCACCCCTGTGTTTCTTCTTTTCACATTCTGCCATTTGCATGGTGATAATTATTGTTGTTTCCCATCTGTCTCATGTTGCAGATCCTGAGACACTTAAGGCAAGAGAGGTAGGGACCATTTGGTTCAATTCCATTGTAATTCTATTGCTGTGATAATAATGATTGTAATGGAAGCATGTTGAGACATGCTGTGCCTCAAACCCCTTCATTCTCATGCTTCTCTCCAGCCTCTCTTGTGATAGCTGATTATTCTATTCCCTTCCTCTGTGTGCCCTCCATGGTAATCGGGGAGGAAAGCATTTGTCAGAGATTGAAGTGTAGCCAATTCTGCTTGGAGTCTTCTCTTTTTTGCATAATGATGTTCTGTGGTGAGGCACATGTCATGTTGTTATCTCTGGCTAGAAGGCTTCCCCCCATTCTCCTTCCTTCAGCTCAGATGCTTCTTCTCAAACTGATCCTTCACTCACACTCACTCTTATGATCCAAAGACTATTTTCTTCCTATTTTTTATTAAACTTTGAATGTATGTCGTCATGCACATGAAAGCAGGCTGATTTCCAAATGGGCTCATGCTTGTCTTCCATGCAGAGTGTAATTGAATATTTGAAAGTTTTGTTTTACTTATTGCAGGTATTGGTGCTTCATTTTCACCCCACATTTCTGTTGATTAATCTAAATCCTTTTGTATCCCCAGCATTAGTAGTTTTCTTATGGGGTAGTGATGGCATGACGATTGTATCTATCAACATGCCTTTTTCATGGTTTCTGCCAAGCTAGTCTCATTTTTGAATGTCAAGTGAGAGCCATCACATGTGAAGTGAAAATATTGATGGATTTTTAATTTAATGCTCTCTAACAGAATTACTGAATACATTCACAATGGTTGATTGTGAATCTTTGGTCTTTCTCCGTGATGGAGGATAGAAGATGTGCATTTTTCGGATCACCTGTGGTTTTCATTGTAGGCCATTTCGATCCTAATGGGGAAGACTTTGCAATAAAACATTCAAGAACAATTCTGAAGCCTTTTTTTGCTGAAAAAAACAACTAAATGCTGATACATCGCCTGCGGTAAACTGCTATAACATCACCTTGTGATAACGTCATGGTATGCACTCGAGCCATGGTCCAATCGGGATGAGAGCAGAGATCGTAGGGTCCTGGAGAACTAAAAGTGGTCCCTGGTAGATCAGGACCGACGATGATGAGGCTTGGACCTGAGTAGTGTTGCAGGTAGTCATAGAATACTGCGAAGTTGTTGAAATAGCACGTGAAGAAGGCCGAGGTGTGGTCCACGGTCCACGAATCTTCATCGGCAAATAAGAGAGGGATGAAAGGTGTCAAGCTATGTTCGGATTCCCACCAGCCACGATCAACTTCAATTCCGTCTACTTGCAGGCCTAGCAACGAGAAAGGAAAGTCAATCATGTCTAGTCTCATTGAAGTCGTGCCCGAGCGCACTCTATTGGCCGAAGGCAAGGAGACCCACAGTCTCCTCGTCAGAGGCTGTTCATATCTGTGCTTGCAAGGAGCGGCTGTAGTTTGGATGTCATGGAGGATATGTATATTATTTTGCGTGCGTCATCGCCTTGTGCGAAAATGGTCGGACGTAGAAGACTGTTAATTGATACAAGTACATATATAGGTGGTGGGTATGCGCCTGCTTGAATTCTCCCTACGCCGTCACCATCCGGAGTATTGGATATATTTTGCAAATGAACACATCATCCTGTTTCGAAACGAATGGCCGAGACTGATTGCCAGTTCAGTCGCTATTACGAATAATTGTTAAGAGTTTTATTTGTACTAATTACAGGGACAAGCAAACAGGGTGGGCAACTGAAATACGTATGACGGAAGTGCAAACTTGAAAAAAAAAAGCAGGAATAAAAATTAACAAGAGAACAAAAAAAAACTGAAAGAAAGATAGTAGAGGGAGATCCAACTCTGATTCAGATTTGTACTCTGGGATTTTCGGATTCAAGTCAGAAGTATTTCACCCACGACTTTCTCTCCTGCGCACGCTACAGCATTGAATGTCCTGTGGGTTCTCCCTATGCCTTTATAACGGGCAAGAGGAAGCCTCCTGGGTGGGATCAACTGTAAGAGGCGGGATTTCATGGGTTTTTCGTCAACCCCGAATGAATTTCATGTACCTCGTACATGAGAGATTTCCTTCATAAATTTGAGATATGTAACATCTGGCACCCAAGACAATATTTTTGGCGCCTGGGATAGTAAAACAAGTTTTTACTCTTCAAAGTCATTTTGCAAAATGATTTATCATGCATACAGGGTCGTCCAAAAGTCACTTCAACTGCTCAGACGACTGCTCCCAGGAAACCGATGGACACATTGCAGACATGTGTAGACCATTTTGACCATGCGGAAGGCAACGTACATAATCGTGTGGTGTGTAATGATGGCATAGTCACAGTATAGGATGTCAAAAAATCATAATCCTCCCCCCCCCCTACTGTCCCAACAGTGATAGATAAAATTTGATTGTTTTTCATGCAAGTTGGTGCTCCGACCAAAATTGCAAGCTCATTGGAAAAAGTTATCTGGGATATTTTCTAAGAACACGTCATCAGTCTTCATTCATTCTCAGCAATCTTCATTTTCAGCAGTCCTGGCCTGCAAGATCGCCTGAGCTCACCCTTGCAGACTTCTGGTTTCGGGTTTACCTTAAGAACCATGTTTACCACAATACCCTCGCCACTTTCCACGAGTTGAAGGAGAACATACAACTGGAAATCCGCTCCAAACCCCCTGAAATGCTTCGAGCAGCAGTATGGAATGTATTGTTCCGATGGGAGATGATGACCATCACCAATAGAAACCATATCGAACAGCTATTATTTAAAAAAAAAAGTGCCCTATTTGTCAACCAAGGATATCATGAAGTGTGACCGTGATGTCATCATAATACACCATGTTCGTTGTCTTCCGCAGGGTCAAATTGGTAAATAAACCAAATTTCGCAACATTGTGTCCATCGGTTTCCTAGGGGCAGTCTCAGCCAAAAATTGTCCATCAAGCTTTCAAAAAATTTTCATCGGGCTTTTCGTTGACAAGTACATAAGCCATATATGGGCCATCACTGGAAGATGGTTGGCTTACTGTTAGCTGAAGCCATCTTATTGTCGGGTATGTCCTGTCAGCCCTTCCTTGGCCCAACTGTGCCACACTGTTGCAAATCAGCACATGCCCACATATAAGCCAGTGATGAGCAGACTTTTCACGAGGCAGAAAATATATTGGGGGAAAGCCATCAAATTTCATATATTACGCATCTTTGAAGGAGTATGCATCCTTTGGTTAATATCCCCCTCATGAATTTATTCTTCATCTGAGCAAGGTGTGAGTACAGTCATTGTATTTTTTACCGCTACCCACTCATCAATAACTTAATCCCTGCCCAGGTCAGACTTCTTGACTAAACATAAATATCTGATTGGAAAGAAAGTTCTCGGAATTTCTTGAATATCCAGTACAATTTTTTTCCAGAGCATGCTAGAATGTTCTGCGTGTGTTTATAAGTAGGTCGTGTCCTTCGGCATACAACCGTATATTATTACAGCCCTGGTGCTCTCCAGCCATGAACCAGCCCTACCCTCTTACTAAGGAGCAAGTTCGCCTGCTTCTTCTTTATGACTTCCGAATCAAGAAGAAGGCAGCCAATTCCATCGCTGACATCAATACCGCGTTTGGCCCGGACACTGTGTCCAAGAGCACTGCCTATGATTGGTACAGTCGCTTCCAGAAAGGAAATGAAAGCCTGGAAGACCAGCCACGCACCGGTCGTCCTTCGGAGTTTGATAACTCTGCCTTGCAGGAGGCACTGGAGGCCAACAACCGGCAAACATCGCGAGAGCTTGCGGACTTGCTGGGTGTCTCCCATACAACTATCCTTCATCATCTGGCTGAGCTTGGCAAGAAGGCAAAGTTGGGGTGCTGGGTACCCCACAAGCTGGACGATCGGGACCGCCAGCGACGAGTAGACATGGCCATCTCCCTTCTGTCACGTTCGCGCCGAACGGATTGGCTAGACTCAGTGGTGACAGGCGACGAAAAGTGGACCTTCTATGCCAACATTCGACGAAAACGTCAGTGGGTGGACGCCGGAGCATCGGCCGAAAGAGAACCCCGTCAGGAGTTGCACCCCAAAAAGATTATGCTCTCGGTCTTCTGGGATTCGAAAGGCATCATCATGTTTGAGCTGTTGCCGCAAAACACCACCATCACTGCTGCCTACTACTGCCAGCAACTCGATCGGCTGCAGCAGAAACTGGCTGAAACACGCCCAGAAAGACAGAGAACCATCCTCCTCCACGACGATGCCCGGCCGCACACCGCTAGACAGACTCATCTAAAGTTACTGGACCTGTGCTGGGAGGTGCTGCCGCATCCGCCCTACAGCCCCGACCTTGCCCCGTCCGATTATCACCTTTTCGTTGCCCTGGACCGTCACATGGGTGGAAAGCAGTACGCCAACCAAGACGACCTGAAAACCGATTTGGCCAACTTTTTCGTAGCGCAGCCGCCAGAGTTCTATTGGAATGGCATCCATAGTTTGCATAAACGTTGGCGTGAAGTGATAGAGGCCAATGGTGATTACATTCATGATTGAGATGATTTTGCTTTTAAATAAACTGGGTTGTAATAATTGTTCATGAAATTCCGAGAACTTTCTTTCCAATCAGAAAGCACTAAATTGTCTGCGTTATTACCAGCTGACCTTTTCCAGTGCGATGCCCATCCTTCCAATGCAAGGGTATCTTTTTTCTCGTAAGAAGTCAGACTCGACTCGCACTGATCGTATTGCCCGTCGGATCTGGAATCTTCGCGGTGAGACGAAATGGAGCCATAGCGCCAAATGGATAGTAGAACATCTTCCCACCAGCCTCTGGGCTGGAATCTCCTGATGTTTCCCGGAACCGGGTCACATCTGGGAAGCTAAGCACTCAAACTTTTTGGGGATCCCGGACTCCCATACCGAGCCGCCACTAGGACTCAAGCTCTACGGGCTGTATGCAAACCTTTCTACGCTGCAAGTAGGACTCGATTTGCGAATTCAAGTTGGACCTTCTCAATATTGCGTTGCGAAGATCTTCGCTTAATTCCGACTACTTTTAGGTGTAGATTTCTGTTCATATCACGCTAAAGCGTCGAATACATTTTTCAGTTCACCCCGATCTCGCGCCAGTCCTTCAGTAACCTATTTATTATGTTGGTAGAGCTTGTGTTTCCTGCTGAGTCGCATGATCAAGCGAGGCAATAGACCTTAGATACTTGTTCCGGGAAATGATCCCACATTTTAACTTGGATGGTAGGTTTTGCACGAGAACAGAGAAGTGCAGACTGACAATTTAGAAATTTTTACTTTCGGACGAATGAGCAGCCAACTTTCAATACGTTTGAACGACTGTCTTTACAATGGTCTGGACTTGTAACGTACTGTATCCAATGATAACTGGAGAAAGCTCAGTTAGTGAGACAGCCAGCACGTCCTGCAGCGTCACAGCCGAGCTGTCGCCGCCTCCGTTAACATGATGGTGCCAGGAGGTGTTCCTTATCTGTGACAGTTCGCCGACTGTCAGAGACGTGGTGCCGAATGATACGATGTGCGCTCGGTGTTACTAAAGCTCACTTTAAAGCTCCTCGAAGCTGAAAGTTAAGGTTCATATGCAGACATTCCAAACGTCCGAAACGGGGTGCACATGGGATTCTAAAGAAAAGACCTCATCCGTTCCGTTTGAATAGAGACAAGAAGGGTACACATTTGTACCTTATTTTGCTTAGGTTCCTTTTAAACGAACGTGACATACGTTTGTACCTCATAACGTACAAAATATGTACCTCACTGTACGCTTCTGCTTTGCTGGGTGGTCATAATACCGAACTCAACCACATACAATATCTTCCAACACGCAACAGAAGCAACCAGAGTGCATTAAGGACATTTCGAAATCAAGGCAATTCCTGGAAGTGCGACAGCAAAATAGGGAACCTGCATTCAAATTCAACAGCATAAGGTGGAAATGCGGTATTTTTTTTCCGAAATTAAAAGAGCTGGTTTTTTGTTTTACCGGGTCCAAGTGGTTGTGTGAATGGTTGGTCGCCAGATGGTCCAGCAGCCTATAAATTTAGCTAAGGAGACAACAGACGAATTTTCAGGTTCTCAGGTGTTCTGATCTGGAAATAGCACCAAAGCGGATACGTGCTTCAATGTAGTAGAAGCTACACAGCTGTGGTTCGCACATTTTTTGCTGCGAAGAAAAGCCCCTAATTTTGAATGCTCCCATGCAGGTGGAAATCAGGAAGCCATACCACTAACTGACCTGTGGCTTTATGCAGAAGCCATTCGAAGAGACCGGAGCCGGATCCAACACTGGTGACCCTGTCGATGCCCTGCGTCCTGACCTCGTCCGCGATGAATTCCAAAGATTTTAGATCCGGTAGGGTCCATGCCAGGTTCTCGTCTTTCTTCCCCCTCTCTTCCATGCATCTCAGTATGCCTCTCCAATCGCCTGGAAGATGGCAGGAGTCGAGAGGGGGATGCAAGGCATGATAACACCGACGTTTAAGCAGATTCGTCTGCAAATGTCTAGGAGGTGGCTGATTAAATCGAAATGCACTGTACTTTTCATTGAGTTTTAATTTTCACACTTCTTCCAGTGATTCGAAGAGGGATGGAATGCCCCTCTTGCTCTTCTCGTGCAGGATTCAATTGAAAAGGTGCCCAACTTGAAAATTCAAAATAATCAGTAGTTATAATTAATTCCATGGGACATATGCCTTAGGTAGCTCTCCTCCTTTCCGTTCTTTCGTTTAGTGGGTGAACCCAACACCTACAGAAAGGTCCCTTGGCAAGAATGAGCTTTTTTTTCTTACACCTGACTGTATTACGGATTGAATTTCGTGCATTTGCTGATCTCTTGCTCTCTAGCAGTCACAGCTTGATCTATCGTCTCCGCTTCACTTTTAATAGACACCCACGTGTTAAGGCGAGACTACGCATCTCTTATTTCTCATTCATTATTTCACTGCAAGTACTTTTCAGCACTGCTGGTACTAACTCAGAACTTGAGGCCTCTATAGGAACATCATAATGAAAAGGTACATCTTTTTACCTCCTTTCTCAAAACGGTTCAGTCGATTTTTTCTCCAGAACTGTTGACTTGTAAGTACATTTAGTAGTAGTAAGAACTGTAGTTTTTCTCGCTCAGTCGTAGGGTAGGCCTACCCCAAAAAAATGCCCTCATGCTCTAATACGATTTCATACTGACATTTGCTAAGGACGGTTCCTTACTTCACTGCAAGCACTTTCCTCACGGTATTTGCCCGGGACTTGCGACACCCAAAAGAAAAACCGTCAGAACGAGGCAAGTCCTTGAAATCGGTCGGGCAGTCTTAGCTCTCCGGCGAGCCTCGTGTCCCCGTCGCTCAGGAGTGGATTCCCAAGCACGCATCCCGTCCTTCCGCCTCCCCGCAATACTGGACCCGTCGTGGGGAGGAGGCTCCGTGGACTCCACGACGGAACTGGGTGGGAAGAGTCTCGTTGACGGTCGACAAGCAATCCTATGGATCCCTTGTGTTTGGATTTCTGGTCGACCGTTGTGTACTAGATCATGGTTCGCATGTCATTAGAAAAGTTCGACTTTCTGTTTTCATTTGATACTCAACAGGATGGTTTTATTGTGATATCTTCGTGAGAAAATCTCTCAGTCGAATAGTTTCAATGAATTGGTGTTGAGCCAGTTTGCTACCGTCGAACAGAAACGGATGGGAAAAGTGGCTGTGAACTTTCGTTCGTCAGTCTATATGGGTTTTGTCCTTTTCTCATATTTATTTTTAAATTGGATGCATCGAATGACTCCAGAACTCAGTCCTCATTTCGGTCGCGGTTTTCCGCTTCGGCTTTAGTTTCGGTTGGCAGAAGTTGCCCGACCGACAGTGAAACATTGGTCAAACAGGTGATACTCGAGTTCTGTATGAAAATGTGCACATTGTCATGACTAAAAGCACCTTGGATATTTTAATGAAAGCCTGTTTCACATCCCATGTGAAGAAGGCGGTGCAAATGCAAGGAGGTGGACAATCGAAGTGAAATGTCATCGGAAAAGCAGGAGGAAAATTGTTTGAGTAGGGGACAAATCACGTCTAACACATTGTGCCTATCGAAAACCTTATCAATAATTGATTAACCGACGGCAAAGACCCGACTTTCGATTCACCTCCGGTTTCGATGGCTCTCACCTCGGGAAAAACCGAAGCGAGGACCGATTCCTGACCGAACTCGCGTCCTGAAATCGTCGATGCCTCTATAATTGTTTTGTTTTTTTTTTTTTTTGCCCGAGTCATCCAATTAAATTTCCTTCGGATGACTCGCACGAGGCCAACCTTAAAGAACACGCGACTTCCTACGTCCACATCCTCACCTTTTTGGAAGAGCTGATAGACGCAGGATCTGAACCCGGACGCCTCCATCGTTCAACTCATTGACCTCGGCAACCGCGCGCAACATCAGCTTGTGAGGCGCGACCTTTGGCTCCGACTCAACCGCTTTCGATTTCTTGAGACGGTGCCAACCGCCTCTCGATTTCCTGAAAGGCTGCCACGTTCCCGAGCTATTAATAGGTCTTCGGTCACCGACGGATGCTTGGGTGCGAGACCACGCAATCTGGCGGACATCAATCACTGCTTCCTTTCCGTTTCTCCCATCAACCATTGCCGTTTTATTGCCATTGTTATTGTCATTGTTTCAACAGCTATTGCAATTTCATTGCCATTGCCGTTGCTTCAGCTGTGCGAGTACAGCGGGTTAGAGAATTTTTTTTTTTCAGGGATACCGCGTGATTACTTTCCCGCATTTCCGTGCATGCACCAATTAAACATGGAGCCATTCACTGCATGAGGACAACTAGCAGAATTGATTGTCAATCTATTTACAGGTAAAAATAAATTAAGCATATGAAGAAAAAAAAGAGACTTACTTGACGCTTCAGGAAACCGACAGTATAAATACTAGCTTCGTATTTTTTTTTTACATACATCACCGAGAAAACACGATAAAATTTGTTCCTCGAATGTGCCTAGGTCATTCGAATAAAATGCAAGTCATTCAAACACGAGCAAAAATTTCCTATTTATCTTGCTGAAGTGGCTTCAGCAGTCCTTCACAGATGCGTCTAATTTGTCTCCACAAAGCCTGCTTTTTTTTTTCTTCTCCATCCTTATTGCAGTGTGACTGTGCATTGTCATTACATCACAGCTGACAAAGGAAATTGTCACCGCGATAAATGTGGGCTTTTAAAAGAAGAGCTGGAGCCATAGTCAGAATTTTCTCTATGAAAAAAATGGATTGCGTCCTGCGTGGTTAGACATCTTATCAGACCTCAGTCAGTTTCATAAAGCGTCAAACAGGATGCGATCCCCCCCCCCCCCCCCCGCCGCCGCCAGCTGGTATGTAGGGTGATAAAAACAAAGCCCCATCGTTTTGTGTGGAGGAGAGGTAGCTTCGTATAGGCGGCCAACAATAGTAAGTTAGATGAACGATAGAAGGTTACGAAGTGTCGGACTGGGGATTAGGTTTTGGCCGGTACCTTAGTCTGAGTCATTCAATGCCCCGTTCCACAATTTACATGTGAATCATTCTACTGCAAAGTGTGCCTGCCAATGGGGTGTGCCCAACTGTCTCGGAATTCAATGAAATTCGGCACCCAGTCGTATTGCGGCGAGATTAGCGTAGAGCCAATATCGTTGGTCTCTACTGCAAACGGGGGTCGAGATGCCGGGGTTTCAAATTTGCCACTGGGGGCCGGTGCTCGAAATGGGATTTTTTTTCGAGGGGGGGGGGGGCCGGCTGGGAATAGCTCCTCTATTATTGTGCCTTTCCCCTACTCCACCCTCCCCCCGTCCCTTCCCCCTGTGGGGGAGGGGAGGCCGAGCGAGGGATGGATCGAGAGGGGGAGGGGGGGAGGGAGGGGAGAGGGGAGAAACGGGGGTGCTGCGCGAGGGGAAGGGCCGAGGAGGGGGCCGCTGCCATGAGCCTCCAGTCACTTTCGTACTCCCCCCGTTTAGGCCGATCCTGCGCATCTGGTATTTTCAGCGCGAATCGATATTCGCGTGAAACTTCGACGTCCTTCGGGGGATGCCGGGGCTCCATCCCGCCCTATCCCCCCCCCCCCCCCCATTTTGATTTTGCCGGGACGGCTCAGGTCGAATAACAGCCTTGGCGGAACGCAATCCCACCCTATTACGAGCACTGACTGCGGCAAAATATGGTTCCCAGCTCACCTAATTTCCTTTGTTCTCGTCCTAAAGGGTCAGTTAATGCCTGCTTGGCAAGGAATTTAAAAAATGCAAAAAGATTTAATTAATTTTTCAGTGTTGGAAAAAACATTTATATTAAAAAATTACAGATATTAAAATTTTTTGACAATATACAAATCTGTGAGGTAAACATGGTACCTGTGCTAAATTTGGGGTGGAATAAGCCCATGCATCTAAGCACCAATGCACCGAGTGATTTTGAGGCTATTCTCACATAGTTTTCCACCTTCCAATCGGTTGACTGGTCATTGATTGCAAATTAGTGATGAACCAATCAAGTCAACAGCTCGGGGAAGCCGAAATCCTGAAAGCTTGGAGCAATGTTTTTGCACGAAAGGCAGAATTAGACCCCCGTATTTCGGCCCTCGTTTGCCATAGAGACTAACGATTTTGGCTCTGCGCTATCCTCACGAAAATCCGACGACATGACAAATTTAATTGAATTCTGAGACGGCCGAGCATAGATCATCGACACACTTGCCGTGGAATGATCGATCCATCTATAAATCGTGGAATGATGCATAGTATGGCTCAGACAAGGATACTAACAAAAACCAAATTCTCAATCCTACGCTTCAGTCTTTCCAGTTTTGATCACCATCTAATTTGTCATTGTTCGTCGCACACACGAAGCATTCTTCTCCCATGGAAAGCGATGGGCCCATCTCCCTCACCCTCATCTAACGGCGTAGCGTCGGGGGGGGGGGGGGGCCAAAAGGGGGAGTGAAAATTCTGACTATGGCTCCAGCTCTTCTTTTAAAAGCCCACATTTATCGCGGTGACAATTTCCTTTGTCAGCTGTGATGTAATGACAATGCACAGTCACACTGCAATAAGGATGGAGAAGCAAAAGTAAGAAGGGAAAGACGCATGAAATGCATGAGAACTGCGTCCTCGAGTTCCCCCCCCCCCCTACCACCCTCACTTTTTCCATCCACGCTACGCTCATGCTTCCATTACCTGAGCTCTCGAAACGGACTCTCCACCTCGATGCAAATGACCCTAGGTCGAGAGATTAAGTGCATGCGGTGTGATTTCTGCCCTTCCTCTTCGTCTTTCCCATCGGGTGGACGAAAGGGTCTCACGACTGACCCACGCTCCTCTCGTTCTCGGGTCTCTCGTGAGGGCTATTCGTGATCGAAGCGAGAAACTGGCCATTTTCTTTCCTCTCCTCCAGGTGAGCTTGGGTCTTCGGAGCGGCCGAATGGACGTATTCCCTTCAATGACCTCATCAGAATCAATTCAACATATCACTTATAGATGTCCAGCCTACTCAGGCCATAGGAAAAAATCCCCAAAAGAAATTGCCACCAGG